TGAGGCACTAAGTGACTAATATATCCCTAAATTTTGATTTGCTTCCTTCAATAAGCTAATGAATTATAAATGTATTTTAAAAGTAGATAATCTTTGTACTTTTTATCGATTTTACATATATAATATATCAAATTAATCATCTTTTGATGATCTTCGATTTGACATCCATATTGTATATATACCATAAATAAATTATATTTATCTTTATAATAACAAAAAATAATAATTTTTATTAAAATTCATTAGAAAAATAAAATTATTTCTCAATTGATATATTTATATTTAATGTAGTTATATATTGTAAGTTAAAAAATTAGTATAATATGACACAAGTAAGTCGCACAAATAAAAAATATCATAATAAATATATAATAATATATATATTCTTATAAAAGGTATTTAAATTTTTAAACTACTTTTTCTCATTAATTTTAAATTTTAAGAAAAAAATTAGTAAGCACCCGTGTAATACACGGGTATTGTACTAGTTTAAAATTAGTTCCGTAAAATTATTCAATATTCATACTTATGTGTGGCCCAAACAAATCGGGCCTGAATTTTGAGTTCAATCAACTTGGGCTTACTTCAACCTGATATCAAGCAGTTTATTTGGGACATGACTATTTTACATGTTTACTATTTTTTTTTTTATTTTTTTTTTAACAAAATATATATCATTCATAAACTAAATCATATACATATCATTCATAAACTGGTTATATACATACAAAAACACGAGATTTAAAACTAGATCATATACATATCGTTCATAAACTAGTTATAAAACAAAAAATAATGCAATTTAAAGATTAATGATAAAAGTAAACTAAAAATAAATTGTAAAAGTTAGTATATTTGCAATTAAAATAAAATAAAATTTGAAGGTAAATGGTAAAACTTTTTCTACTTTGATAGGCGTTTTTACTTGCGTTTTTTCCCATGCATTAAATCATGAGTGTCCTAGACATGGCCTAAGGGGCCCAAACTCGGTGAGTCGAAATCGGTCGGGTATTATGAAGGCCCAAATTAAAAAATCCGTCAGTCCCAATTTTGGGTCGAGCCGACAGGTACAATCGGTTTTTAAAATTTAAAATAATAGTTTCCACCTCGAACTATCGGTTTCGGGTCAGATCCACGGACCTGACACATAGGATGGATCTTGAGTGTTGATCTTGCAATGGATACAAAGTCCAATGGTGTAGATTAGATTGTAGTCGAGTTCGTATCTTGGTACGAACCAAAAGTTCAAAATTTGTATTTTGAAGTTCAACATTTTTGGCACCAATGGGTAGGGCCGATTCTGGGTTAACTCTAACACTGAGTCAAAAATGCTTTGAATATTCGATCGGAACCATAGCAAAAAGGCCATAGTTTCGATCGGAATATTCAAAACGATTTTTCACATAAACTAT